TTACCATGGCTCTCTGAACGTCTCCACAGTTACCACGGCTCCCTGAACATCCCCGTAGTTACCATGGCTCCCTAAACATCCCAATAGTCACCTTGTTCTCTAGGCCAACCCATCAGTCACCATGTCTCCCTAGGCTGTTCAGACCATTACCATGGCTTCCCAAATTGCAAACTCTGTGACTGGGCAGGCAGGTTGTACCCCAATATTAGCATTGGGGTGCAAGTGGAACCTTCTTAGCCAGTGCCAAGGGCCATAGTTACCAGTGTATCGATCCCCAGGGTGAAGAGCATCAGGAAAAACAGGATTGACCAAATGAACGAACCAGGCAGCAGTGCTAGGGCTTCTGGGTAAGCAACAAATGCTAACCCCGGACCTACAGTGAACAGACAGTGGGTTACATTGTGCATAGAGAGAGGCCACGTGACCCCAACAGTCCAGGCTGATGTTTATACTTTACAACATCCTTCCTTCACCCGTCTGCATCATCCAAACCGGAGAAAATAATTTCAGTAGATTTTCCACCCTATATTCAATAAGAACATGACAGCATGATGTTCAGCTTATTACCCTTCTCACTGAAAGCTGTTCCTCACCCACAAGGCTTGTCAGATCGAGTAGAGTTACACTAATTTCACTCGAGAGAGGTCCCTATGAAACTGAGAAGCAGCCAAACCAGATTCTAAACAAGGCCTCGCACCTAACGTGTCTGTCTGACCTAAAATGTCATCTCTTCTTTACACTGATAAAACCTTTAGTTCTCACAGGACAGGGACTGGAAAGAAATTTGGGGATTACATATACATATTAATCAATCAAAACCTTCTAACTGATTGAAGATTTAACAGCATCTTAGGTTTGTTTAACACATCCTCATCAGTGATGTGACCCTGTGATCTTTTACTCATAAATTCTGTGTCTGATACTACATCTCTCACTAACGCCTGAAGAAGGAGCAGCGCTGCGAAAGCTTGTGTTTTCAAATAAACCTGTTGGACTATAACCTGGTGTCGTGTGATTTTTGACTTTGTCCACACCAGTCCAACACCGGCACCTCCACATCTATGGTTTATGTCAGACTAATGAGCCTACAGGTCTCTGTTTTCTCTCTCCCTTCTTTAACTAGTTTTCTGGTCTTCCTGCTATAGGAAGGATGTCATGAAACTAGAAAGGGTTCAGAAAATATTTACAATGATGTTGCCATGGTTGGAAGGTTTGAGCTATAGGGAGAGATTGAATAGGCTGTTTGCCTGGAGTGTCAGAGGCTGCGGGGTGACCTTATAGAGGTTTCTAAAATCATGAAAGGCATGGATAATGTAAATAGACAAGGTCTTTTCCTTAGGGTGGGGGAGTCCAAAGCTAGAGGCATAGGTTTAAGGTTGGAGGGGTGAGATATAAAAGGAACCTAAGGGGCAACGTATTCACAAAGAAGGTGGTGCATGTATGGAATGAGCAACCAGAGGAAGTGGTGGAGGCTGGTACAATTACAATAATTAAAAGGTATCTGGATGGGTGTATGAATAGGAAGAATTTAGAGGGATATGGACCAAATGCTGGCAAATATAGTTTTATATAGGATATCTGGTCAGCATGGACATATTGGACCTTAGGGTCTGTTTCTGTGCTGTACATCTTTATGACTCTATGACTTTCTGATTCTCCATTGGCTTTGCTTATCAATTTGTTGGTCATTTTGAAAGGGAGCTTTACGCTGTATCTAACCCTGTGCTGTACCTGTCCTGGGAGCATTTGATGGAGGACAGTACAGAGGGAGCTTTATTCTGGATCTAACCCTGTACTGTCTCTGTCCTAGGAGAGTTTGATGGGGGTCAGTGTAGAGGGAGCTTCACACTGTATCTAACCCTGTGCTGTCCCTGTCCTGGGAGGGTTTGATGGGGGACAGTGTAGAGGGATTTGGATACTGTTCTGTTATGCTGTGTTTAAGTGGAAAGTCATTGAGAGGAAAGCCCTGAGGACAATCTGCTGTACTAAGAGGTACCCTGAAGATTCATGACCACTGTTGATTACTGGCCTTACCAGAATCTGCTACATCTTCCACTGCCACACCTTTCTTCCAGGCCATGTGACCCAGGATGGAAAAAATGGCGAATCCTGCGAAGAAGCTTGTGATACAGTTGCCGGTCACTATGACCAGGGTGTCCCTGGGAGACAAAGGATCAGTTATCAATGGCTAAAGTTTCTGAATGCTACAACTATACCTCTACATTAACAAGTGGCAACAATCTCAGAGAAGGGATTAACTTTATTTTCACAGCATCTTCCACAACCCATTTTACACCTGAGTACTTTACAGTGAACACTATAGTTGAAAAGTATACATTGCTGCAACATTGGAAACGTGATTTTCCACTGTGCACAGCAAGATTCCACAGCACACACTGAGACAATACCATAATTGTCGGCTCCTGTGATGTTGATAAATATTATTCCTCAAACACTGGAAAGAACTCTGAGTCTACAGGTGTGAGGCTGGGAAAGCACAGCAGGTCGGACACCATCCGAGGAGCAGGTAAGTCAATGCTTTGGCCTGATGCTGACTGACCTGCTGTGCTTTTCCAGCCTCACACCTATAGACTCTGGCTTCCAGCATCTGCAGTTCTTATTGTCTCCAAATCACTGTAAAGAACTTTCTTCACTTCCAGCAGTGCTGTAGCATCTTTTATGTGCAATTGAGAATGCGAATAGAACATCAACTCAATACAGCAGATGACAGACATCAGCTCTGACTGTGCAGCACCCCACTGTTGAACAGTCAGTACTGAGGGAGTGCCGCACTGTCGGAGGGTCATTGCTGAGGGAGCGCCGCACTGTCGGAGGGTCAGTGCTGAGGGAGCGC